TGATGTATTTTATTCCTCACTACACCACACTACATTAACCCCGTCACCCCATCCCACCCACCCTCTATTTGATTTGTTTGTAAATTTATTTTTAGCTTTGTAGCTGTATTTCAGATTTCATAATAATAATAATAATTGGCTACTTATCACCCACCACCCTTCCTCTCCGTCTGTGACAGTTATTTGTCATCCCTCCCTCCCTACCTCTCTGTCTGTCTGTCTCTCCTTACCAGGGTGGGTGTACTGCTATTATTCGTATTTGTAGTCTTATTTACCACCACCACTTACTGTGATCACATCACACCTGTGATGATAAAAAAATTAATCTTATTCGTTCGAATAGACCAATCATGCACCATCATGTGTGTGTGTGCGTGTGCGTGCGTAGGTAATCCTCTGACTTGTCGACAAGCCTGTAGCCATTGCACTACCTATTTGATTATTAATTAATATTACTATTCCCATAGTTGTTGGTTTGTAACGATTAAATTGGGTTTTACGAGTTTGACCACGCCAGGCTACGCGCGGATTTATTTATATCAATATCAGAAACCACTCAAAGGAACACATATGCTCATGGATTGATTAATTGTTGAGTAGGTCTGTCTGCCAGTTTTGTGAACATTTGAATTTGAGTTTGACCACGCACGCCAGTCTATACACGGATTGATATCAATCAGTTAGAGCATTGAAGCCAGCATTGAAAACTAGCTGGGGAGTTGGGGAGTAATGGACAGCCACACAGCCAGCCAGCCAGCCAGCCAGCCAGCCAGCCAGCTGTTTCGTCAGCCACCCTAGTTTGGGAATCATCGGCAGTACGCGCCCACCACAGTGCCAGGGTTCGAACCAAAGACCTTTCGGTTGCAATCAAGGCAAGCTAGCTGGCTGGCTGGCTGGCTCGTATACCATTCAGTCACCACTCACTGGGACCCGACCCGACCCGACCAGATTCAATGACTAACGCATGAATTCTAACTTCTACCAATCAATTTATGATGCATTTACCGCAACTGGCGGCGGCACCAACCAATCGGTGGTCACCGGTGGGAAATCCATCCTCGCTCGCACAGTTGACTCGACTGGACTGGACTGGTTGGACCTCACCATGTAAGAAAGACTAACACTGACTTACATATATGCTGCTAATGGATTAATTGCTGGCTGGCTGGCTGGGTGCTGGGTAGGTCTGTCTGTCTGTTTGTCTATTTGAATTGACTAACTAACATTATGCCCAATTATATAATTATTCTTGCACTAACTAGCCTTACATTGCGATTTCTCAGTATTCACTGCACTCACTCACTCACTAGTTAAGCTGGCTGAAATGCTTGTTTTGTTTTATTTCAGCACTAAAGGCATTATTATTATTATTATTATTATTATTATTATCCTACTCCGTTGTAATTCCAACTACTGGATTCAATACTTCATTGGAATGAAGCAGCAGCTTACATCTCATCATCTCATAGAAGGAGGCATAGGGCACAATGCTCAACTTTTTAAATATATTTATATTTGTAATATACAGGCAGGCATCTATCTATCTATCTATCTATTTATCTATCTGTGTATTTATCGATCAATCCAGTCAGTCAGTCAGTCAGTCAGTCAATCAGTCAGTCAGTTAGTCAGTCAGTCATTTTTTGAAAATACACATGATATAACAATATATTGATTTTATTGGTTTTTGATTAGTCATCTAAATGCCTTGTATAATATAATATAATATAATGTAATTAATTATTCCTTAATTCATTGCTTCCCTGCCTGCTTTGATTGTGAATTTTAAATTTTGCCTAAAAGATGATGATGATAAATAATGACTTCTTTTAATTTGAAGAAGAAGAAGTCAACTGAAGAAGAACTTAATATTTATTATTAATTAGTATTAGTCCTTTTGGGAGGATTTCATCACGAGCTCTATGAGACATGAATTATCTATCTATCTATCTATCAATTAGAGAGAAAAAAGCATTGTAAAACCAGTTGGGTGGATAGGAGTAATGGACAGCCAGCTGTTTCGTCAGCCTAGTTTGAGGCGCTTCAGTAGCACGCTTGCTTGCTTCCCTTGTAACCAACCAGAAGGTGGCTGCTGGCTGGGTTCGAGCCAGCCCTGGCGGTTTACACAAAATGATAAGTTCTCGTTTGTTTTTGGTCGAATTACAAAACACACACACACACACACTCACAGTTGGTGTGATGATCTCGGACAGCAGTAGTTGTACTCAAAATATACTACCAAAAATGAACAGACAAACAAACAAACAAACAAACAGAACTTATCATTGTGTGTAAACTATTCAATTGCATATAATTATAATTTATTTATTTATTTATTTACTGACATTAACTACTCCGGGATAATTAATTACAACTACAGAAATAAAAATGTTATTTCATTGGAATGAAGTTAGCTAGCTAGCTTACATCTCATAATAATAGTTTTATAGGTAAAGATAACTATAGGTGTAGGAAGGGGTTCCGTCAACTAACAATCATGCAACTCCTCAGCCAACAGTTGTAGTAAAATGCTGCATGCTAAGTAAGTAATCCACCCATACACAAAACAGGGAAACTCACAGAATCCTTCGAAGCAGAAGTGAAGACGGGAGTAAGACAAGTCTGGCTGGCTGGCTGGCTGCCTGTTGTCTGCAATGATTGTTTTCCTGGTTGCAGTAGACTGGACAATGCGATAGACAGGCAGGCAGGCAGACAGACAGACAGACAGCGACGGGCCAGGCCGGGAAACGAGGAGACAGGCATCAAATGGACCCACATCAAAAACAATAGGACGATCTGCATTTCGCCGATGATATATATGCATACATATACAACTGAGAAGCATCGTTTCAACTACGGACGGACGGACGAATGATGAAAGCAGATATAGTGATGAACCAGGTGATGAAAACTTTGGCATAGAAACCAAAGCAATGGAGATGTACGGTTGTAGTCTTATGTTCATCTAGGAATGAAACGAGACAATAATAATAATAATAATAATAATGATACTTATAATATAATATGATATGATGTAATAATAATAATAATGATAATAATATACCGAAAATGAGAATTGAATACGCGAACTGACAAATATCCATCCTCTTATATTTATCGTCCGCTGTCTCTTAAGTGACGATGCCATGTAGTCATCGCCATCCTTGGCTGTAAGGTGATTTCGCCATCGATAATTGCTGATAATAATGAAAATGGTTAAGATGTTCATACACCACAACAAACAAGTTGATGAGGAGTTCCACTAACACATGACACACGTTTAAGTAAATTATTATTATAATTATAAAAATTATTATTATTATTTTCAATTACTTACCGAGCGAGTGAGTAATTTGTCAATATTCAGGGATTCATAATCACTCACAGGCAGACAGTTAGCTTCGTTAGACGAGATAGACAGACAGACAGACAGACGGCTGGGCTGGCTGGCTGGCTCTAATCCAAAGTAACAACAACCATGCAAAATGTAAGTAAGTAAGTAAGAATTATTCCAACTGGTAAAACACTTGCCAAGAGGAGAGGAGAGGAGAGCAGATGAAAAATGCCAGCCAGTTAAGAGGAATCAAATGACTGAAAACGATGAATAGCATTGAATTAGATTGATAACAACTTGGAATTAGACCTACGAAGATATCAAATAAATAAATAAATAAATAGAAATCTAGATCTTGTTGTTTGATGCAAATAACCAAAATCTTCAGAGTCATATGTCTTTACATCCACTAAATAGAATAGAATATGTAAAACAGAGAAAGCCGTACTTACTTACTTGTCTCTCCGGTCAGGTCGGGTGTGATACTAACCAGGCGTCGATGTTACTGTCTTCATATATACTTTGACAACAGCGTGTCGAAATGACGAAATTGATGAAATACAACAAAGGTAGTGTATTATCCATCCATCCATCCATGTCTTGGCACCTCTTCCTTGGATGCCCGCTGCATTCACCTTTCCATAAATCCAAATCACTAAAAGCTGCCTGCTTCTTGTAACCGTTGTTTTTCACATCACGTCAGTAAAATCTGAACCAGCTGTATCCATCCACCAAGGCGTCATTATTCATGCAGTTTGCCAGAAAAGACAAGGCATCTTCTTCCAACTAGCTGCATAATCTTCAATATCCCTCAATCGAACTCACTCCACATTATCTGAGTTGTTTTCATCCTCCTCCTACTCCTGATGACGATGATGATGATGATGATGATCCGAATAAAAATGGACAATTAGTCTACACTAAAAATACCACTCGCTCACCTGCATGCCTGATAAATTCTGTAATAGTGGTATTTGAATGTAATCAGCACCGCCTATATACCTCTCTCTCTATCTATCTATCTATCTATCCAAACACATCATCACGCCCACCCCCACCCCACTTCAACACATACACATCCCCCCTTAGCTTCGTTTGTATTAGGTAGTTAGTCAGTTAGTTAGTTAGTTAGTTATTTAGGTTTGCATATATGTAATAACCTGATATGATGTGACGGTGGTCGGTAGTGGTGATGGTCTGCAAATGAAACATCTATTAACAAACAGTATTTTACCCATTATATATATATGACAAGTATCCTATTTCATCTATGTGTGACATTTCAATTTCCCCTACCCCCTTCCACACACACACACACACACCCCACACACACAGTTTGGTTCGTTTAATTCTTCTGTTGTTACAATTATAATAAATCGTACTATCCGTGAATGTTGATACTCAAAGCCTCTAAAAACTCTATGCCAATACCTCCTACTGTAACAACAGAAGACAAGGGCCAGGCAACAGATCGTTTTATTATGAAAATCAACACGTATTTATACATATTTCATATAGATTATTATAGCTTATGCAAGTAGACAAGCGCAGTCATCTGATTGGTTGTTTATCAGAAGTTAGGCAGACAAACGCAGGTTTCTGATTGGTTGTTTCGGGATTCCTCGACAAATAGAGTTCTCTATCTTCGAATCATATTTTGCCACGTTAACTCTGCTGTGATTGGTTGTTGAATCAGTCTTGCTCATATTTTCTCACGGCCTGCTCTCACCACACTTATAATATGAAGCGCCTACATTGGTTACTTTAATAATTCCTTTATTTTGTTGTAAATTCATTGCAATGCTCCGAGTTTTGATAACTGTTCTCTGGAATTGAATATCTTATTCCGTAATGGAAACTCCAGTCAGGTCTTTCAAGCTAGCTCATCTCCGTTGTCTTCATTTCGTCAAGCGACTTAGTTTTCTGCTTAGTATATTGCATTGAATATTTGCAAAGATCCAAATAAGCAACACAGATGAGTCTTGCTAAGAGGAAAAATGCTATTCCGAATGTAACGGGAAACCACCAGATGAGGAGTTGGAGGGAACTGGCTGAAGCTGATGATCTCGCTTCTGCCCTCACTGTTGATCCTTATCTTGGCTTTACTACCCATAAAATGACAGATATGAGGTTAAAAATTCCAGAAAGAATCAAAAGGAAGTTTTGTGATATCATATCTGCCTTTCGGAAAAATAAGTGTTACGATACAGCTTTCAACCAGCTGACTGCCGATCCAAACATAGTGAAACGGTCTTGGAGTATTGACCCTCGTTTCAAGGAACATATCAATCGATACTTGTTATTATTTGATGATCGTTCTGGCATTGAAATTCGACCTTGTTGGCGCTACGCATCAGAAAATCATATGGGAGCCGCAATATATGCCACAAAAGATTGGGCGAAAGGGTCTCGTATTAGTACTTTGGTGGGATGCATCGCTAAACTCAAGCATCATGAAGAGGCTACATTCCTTAAGCAACACAAAAATGACTTTTCAGTCATGTATTCTTCTAGAAAAAACTGTTCCCAATTATGGTTAGGTCCTGCAGCTTATGTTAATCATGACTGTCGACCTAACTGTGAGTTCACAACTAACTGTGATGCTGACGCTCGTATGAGCTTAAAGGCTATAACCGATATCAAGTCGGGTGATGAGATTTTCATCTACTATGGGACAAACTTTTTCGACACAAATAATGCAGCTTGCGAGTGTTTTACATGTGAATTATTAGGTCGTGGATATTTCAGCAAATTTAACCAAAGTGTGGATATGACAAATCCTACTAATGAATTATCATCTCCAAATACTATCTCTGACCAGAGGACTCATCCAAAAAATATTGTACCAGCATTTCATAATACTCTTAACATTTCTACTGATCATAATCAAATTCTGCGTGATAGAATAAATTCAGTACCAAATAATTCTCACTTTGTCAAGTGGGTTGGTTCTCAAGTCACTAAGTCTTTATCATTGGATTTCTTCCTGAAGAAGGGATCTTCAACTGGTTTGGCTTGTAAAGCATTGCCTAATGCATATTCCTTACGGCATACCAGCTATCGTTTAAATCGTGTTAAAGCTCGACTTATTGCTGCAACCATAGCTTCTGTAAACAAATCACCTTATTCGATTAGTCATGAGAACAGGACTCCGAGGATTATTTCCCCTTATAAAAAGTGCATGTTAAGAAAAACTATTAAGAAAAGCGTTTCATCTTGCCTACAAAATGAATCAAATTTGCATTCATGTGACAGTGAGCGAAGAAAGCTAAGCAATGCATTATCATCTGTCGTAAAAAGACGAAGACAATTATTACGGAATAGTCATATATCTGAACAACGAAGTTTTACTCCCAAGAGTACTGTTAAAGTCCCTGTTTCCAATGACACAGCAGTTTGTGACAGAATAGCATGGCAAGAATCAGATGGAACTAGCAGTGGATTAGGATACAGTGTTCATAACGATTGCAGTAGTGCTTCAAATAGCCCATTACCACCTTTATTGGATCGTATGCCATCAACTTCACCAAATAATTCCTTCAGTGATTCAACTGTTACACCTGCTCTTGGATCACCCTATTATTGTGATTCAGTAACACAAATGTTCTCTAATGATAATGATAGCAATATTGGCAATGACAACAGTAAGAAAACTGTTACATCAGATCATGGATCTCCGGGTTTTACTTCTCCGTTAACTGAAATGTACAGTAATAATAATAGCAACAATAATGTTAATGAGCATAATAAGAAAACTGTTACGCCTGATCTTGGATCGTCCGATTGTATTCATCTGTTAACCCAAATGTGCAGTATTGATATTAATGACGTTAATGATGCCAATATTGACAATAACAGCAATAGGAACTCCCATCCAAATTTGACCATCAGATCCACACCTAATTCGTTTCTTCTCAATCAGATTGCACTTGAAGTCCTGTCTAGCCGGTGATGTCAACTTCATGGATTGATGTTGTGCTTCTGATTATTATTGACTTTTTTTGAGTTCTTTCCTAACCCAATCTTATGTTGACGAAGAGAGTGAAGACTTAGTATGCCTAATATGCGCCCTTGTCACTTCAGTCGAAACAAAGCAACACTATATATGTAATCAAGCATATATGAGATGATATATTTAATTATAAAAATGCTATTATTACTAATAATAATGATATTATTATTATTATACCAAATGATATGATTGCTTATGAATAATGTGCTCCATAGAAAAAAGACTAGAACATGGTGAACAGAAACGAAAAAAGCCAGGCAATTAAATTGACTAAGGAAATATACGTGAAAAAACGACAGGAAATAAAGCATATAAAATCAAAAAAGTAAAATAAACAATTATAATAAATGATGATTATGATGGTGAGATTTTTTCGAAATCAATTAAAATTAAAACAAACAAACACAATAAAAGCAATGATTCTAAAGTAGTAAATATGCATGTATATAAATGCTTGTCTTCCTTCTTTTTTAATAAATAATGACATGTTTTGATTTCGCGCCAAAACGACATTTCAACAACTATTGAAAATTGAAACATTTAACACATTGAAATGCGGTGCAGAATTTATGTTTAACGTATGGAAATAAAGATAGATGAAAGAGTGAAAAAGGGAATTAGGAAGTGAGTAACTCAGTGGATGGATGAGTGAATGGCCAAGATAAATATCACGCACACATACACGCAAGCATTAAGTGAATTATAAGTAAGTATTACCAGTGAATAAAAGAAATGAGTAAATGATTCAATATTCAATATTAAATTAGCCTAAACTAAATGCCATCAGATCAATCAATCGATCAATATGTGCATACGATAAATAACAAGAAACAGTAAAATAAAGAGTAAATAGGGTTCAAATGTGAATTAAGTTTGTATTAACTAGTTAATTGATTGAAGTTACGCTTTTGCTCAACTTTTCATTTCATCTTGAACTGGGCATTTTCACAATTTAATGTTATTACTTTGCAGCGTCATCATTATCATCATCATCTTCACAGCATGAACACTCACAATCACCTTCATCCTCTTGATCAGATCTTAATGGATTTTCATAGAATTCAAATGTTGGAGGACGACAAATGATTGGTGAATCACTTCTTTCATAATCATTAGGATCATTATTACTTTGATTATGATGATTATATATTGATGAAGCCATGTTCAAAGAAGCATTATAGCGCTGAAATTGAAGAGAAAACGAAAATCAAAATATAAGAGAATTTCACACAGAGAATTTTTTAAAATGAAGTTTAGTTTATTTAAGTCATTTGACTAAAGTTTCCATAGATTTGTAAACCAATAAAAAGACCAGTGATAAACATTTTTATTCCGTTTTACTAAGTCAGTGTAATTTTAAATTTCTCGCGGTCTAATTTAAAGGGCCAAAAAACAAACAAAGAAAAGAACAGGTGGTTTCAGAGCACATTCCAAGAAGCAAATATTTACAAAGTGTAATTACCAGACACCTTAAGGATACCGGTCATTTTATCGAGATTTCCAGATCCTTCAAAATATTAAACATACAAAGGACAGCGAATATACTACGATTTGCTGAAGCAATTGCAATCAAACGTTTCAGACCAAACTTATGAACACAGAAAGAGAGTGTAGTCAATCTCTCACTCCCTAGGGAACTGTTTTACTTTCATTACACTGATTAGTTATACACACTAGTGAGCTCAACTCACTAAGCAAGTTTTCAATTTAATGAAACTTAACCTTCCTGAGTTGCCATTTTGACGTACAAGCTAACACTGTTTAATAAATTTTTCTGTTTTCTGTCTTTTCTCAGTCCCCCACCTTATTTCATCGTCTGGTGGTATATAAATGGATGGTGACTTAAACTACAAATTGTAATACTTATATTCCGGATGCGTTCATCTCTTATAATGTTTTCACTATTACCTTTCAAACATTGAAGCATGAATTGTCATTATTTATAACCATTGTAATTTCGGTAGTGGTGTGCAGCTGATGAGAACCTGTGAAATAGAATGATGATGCCATTTTATACTGCAAATCTAGTCTTTCTTCCTCTATCGGCTTAAGTAAACAGCTGGTAAGCTATGAGTAAGCTATTATGTTTACATTTAGGTACTGACCAATTTAGATGGTTAGACTCAATGACCTAATTCCATGCTGAATTGTCTTGTCATAATGAATGCTTTGTTCTATTTAAAGTTCCGGCTTGTTTACATAAAAAGAATAATCCGAGAACCTTGTGTGTTGTTTTAACTGGCTGATGTATACAAGTAGATATTTACACAGAAGTGAATTCATCCAGGTTGATATACTTTGTAATGATAAAAACAAAATCAGAAACTTGTGACAGAATGTTAATTCAATTGGTTAAACTAAGATTCCACACTAATTAACCAGAGAAAGTTAGATAAGTTGATTTGATATAGCACACTCTGTTACAGTCAAGCTCATGATCATGTCAGTGTATTCTCATGGCTTCATCATAATTTGCTTTTCTTATGTTCACTCTCCCGCTTGTCATCTTGATACAGACTGATAGAAAGCAGGCAAAATTGAAATCAATATTTAAAGTTAATGACTGACTGTAGAAGTAGAAGTGTTTATCCTTCAAATATAGATTTAGTTTACGTGTGGATATGAAATTACCCCATTGGACAACTTATTAAAAACCTTGAACAAATCATCAGCCAATCAGAATAGTTTATTCTCCCCCGACCTAGCATAACTTTAGTATAGCTAAGAATGTATAATTTGTTCTTCTTTAATAAAGGTGTACGTTAACAAGACTCTTTATCTGCGCCTGTTACAGAATCACACTCTATCACAGTGCCTAAAATTTTATTCTTAATATTAAAGGTAATTTTATGGTGAGAGCTGGCTGCCAGCCTAAAATGGTAGACAGTAATTTATGTCAATGTTTATGTCCCCAATATTGGTTGTGAGAAAAATAAGAACAAAAAATGATTCAACAACCAACCACAACAGACTTTGTTTGCGTAGGCGGATACAATTTACAGATAGATAATCTGAACTTCAAAAAAACGGCCACAAAGAGATGAAAGATTAACAACGTTCAGCGATAAACCACCAATCAGAAGACTGTGTTTGTTTGCTTACAATAATCTATAATAATGTAGATGAAAATCTATAAATATGTGTTGATTTCCTAAATAAACAATCTGTTGCCTGGTCCTTGTCTTCTATTGTTACAATTTAACTTTGTTGGTAGAGAGGTCCTGTGTTAATATCTGATTCTGAAGACAGTGGCGTGGAGGTGCACCATTCTAGTCAATTCACTTCATCTGAACTCAAGTCACAAACCAGTTCTTATGTGATGTCGTCCTCAGCGTAAGGGATAAACAGTGATTGTCATACAACATAGACATAAAGCTAGAAGACTGGGCATACTTATATTATTTCTACAAATAATTCTTTAGTGAAAATCCATAGAACCCTTTTAATCTGGACTCTCGTTCTACATAATATCCATGTATATTTCCGATGCGATTTTAAACTGTGCACATATAGTTTTCAAACAGAAAAGACGTAGAAACATCGTGGTGTTGGTAAGCAGAAAAAAATGCTTTAAATAATGAAGTTGGCTACTACCAGTTCGTTTCAGGCTAGACGACGGTTTGATATCAGTCAGAGAACGATTGAAAACCAGGAAGTATTGAACAGCTGTTTCATCCTAGTCCTTGGGACTCATAAGGAGTACGCACCCATTGGGTTTCGAAGCCAGGACCTTCCGGTTACAAGGCGGGCTTGTATACCAGTCAGCCAATGGGACCTGATTCAGTCGGTCATGAATTTAAACTTTCACCGATTCCAGAACTTTCTGGTTTCCAAAATTTCTCTAACTGATATCAATACGTGGTCTAACCTGGAACAAAGAGAATCCCTACAAAAAACAATTCTTGAAAGTACTATTAGTTTGATGAAACAAGCCTTTTATAAATGTGAAAATATTCTATTATGACAAATACTGAGGATTCCGTAAAGGTTTTTTTTAATGGTTTCCATACTATCCTTCCCTCAATTCACATGTTTATTTCTAGTTAACGAGAAGATTGTTGTTATTATTGCTCTCTCAGGTTCTAAGTTGTCACGAAGGCTTCAGCAACACATCTCAATTTCACTCTGCTTTTTGCAGTTTCTTTTAACTCACTCCATAATTGTGTACAACCCTTCATTTCCTCACCAAATTACCTCATCCATGCCACCCTTGGACATCCAGCTTGTTATTTATCATCTGGGTTCCACCCGAGGATCTGAAGCGAGTCTGATGTTACAGACCTTCATCAGCAGGTGCCTTCGCTCAGTACTACTAAAGATCGGATTGCCGGCCATAAATGATCAACAACAGGGATCTCTGGGGATGAACCAACCCAGTAGAAACCAACTGTGCAACAGATATGCAGGAAGAAATAGAGTTGGGTTGACCATACTCTGGGAAAAAAAACCCATCAAGTTACATCACACGCTAGGCTCTCTCTCTCTCGAGTGGGACCGGAGTGGGAAGCGGCGAGTTGGTCGTCAGTGCGAGTGTGACATGAAGGAGGTAATGTGGAGAGGAAATGAATACAAGTGGGGAGAGTTGGATCCAGGTAAAACGTTGTTGGGGAAGCGAACGCAATGGGGCTGAAGCCCTATGTTCCTCCAGGAACTAAAGGAAACAACAATAATAGTAACTAATGCTGTTATTTTTTTTATTTTTTGATTTTTTGGTAACAGCTTGTTTCCACACGGTATTTTTGTTAAAAGTGTGGAGTTTTCAGCGGGAATACCGAAAGCCCAAAATTACCAGACAAACCAGAGATACCAGGGGGGCGTCGGCGTGGGCTCGAACCCCGGACCATGTGAATGATTGGTGAGAGTCCACAACAGTTCTTCAGAGTTACAATCCATTTCCCTTTCTTTCGGCAAATTTTTTGCGCTATAGGTTCTTTGTTGGTTCGTTGACAGAGTTCCTTGTCACTTATTCTTTCCAGTCATGTGATCTGACAGCAGAGGCAAAGTTAGAGAAAATCTGCATTATGCTGTTAAAAATGGGTTTTGTGACGTCCGTGAAACACATAGAAGCACTGATTGACTTGAAATTCATTATGGAAGATCTGAATCTTGTTTTTATGCTGAATACAACAGATTTCCGATTGATGAAAATTTGCCTGGTTTCTCCAGTCCTGTACTTGAAAACCTCATTGGTGACTTCCTTATCTTGGGTTGAAATGATGTTGTCTGCCTAGATAAGTGAAAGGAGAGTGTATTGATATAGTAAATGCATATGAAATCCATGCTCCTGACGCACTAACTTCTCTCGTTTGATGACAATATTTCCGAATGAAAAAGGGATAATGAAAATGAATATGTTTACCTATAAGTTCTACACTTCATATTGAAGAAAAATGGTTAATAATCAAGTTTGAATTAGTAAATTTAATGTTTACGGTTTCAGAAAGATGCTACTTATATATTTTTAAGTAGTTTAAAATGAGTGAATAATGAAACTTCATAGAAGCTGAGAACTGTTGGTTGGATTCCGAATTGGCCACATATCTACACCAAACAATCAAATTGTTTACTGAAGATTAAGAATTATATCTTCAGAAACTAATTACATCTAGGATACACTGAGAAAAACAGACGAATACTGACCACTTGTGAATTTAAAATTAACAGCGGTGATAATAACTGGATTGAAACTTTTTAACCTAGAGAACAAACATTATAATTTTAACGCATTACAAAACTCGTTCAAGTTAATTTTTAATCTCAATTGATTCAACCGAAATGCCCTGCCTCTGCTGGCTGACGTGTCATTTTAATTACGGAGTTTTTGGTGACGTTTGAAAGCTAACGTCATGTTACTTAGATTGGTAGTGGATATCATTGGAATTCAGCATGCGCGTTCCATTCGAATTTAGTTTCATCATCTCGATCCAACTGTATCTCTGATGAGTCTCAGTTGGAACAGCATCACTCAGATGCAGATATAGCCAGATGATGAGTCCCCAAGGGTGACGAAACGCTCGCTTTTCATTCCACTTCTGGACATCATCAACACAAAGATTATAACACTGATCATGTGAAATGAAATAGTGAATAGTATTCTAACAGTATTGCATAGCATACCTTTTCATCAAGTAGAACAGTTTTTGATTCAAATTCTTTCATATCTGATTCATTGACAATAGGATTTGGTATAACTCTTAACGGATCATTTTGTGCCTGTTTAGGCTGTTTCTGTTGTGTTATAACAATAGGTGAATTATCATTGTTCATTTTTGAATTTCTTAACTTTTCTGCACTTGTTATTTTTTCCGGTTTTATTGTCTCATCTGCATCATTGAATTGTTGACTTGTATACATTTGTTTTAATATATCTTCAGTACACGGTATCATGTGAAGATTATTTGTTTGTGATTTGAATTGATAATTCGATTTTGAATGAATACGTTGTATTCGATTAACAGCAACAAATAGTAGCAATAAGACAGCTAAAACTGAAGCACCAATAATCAGGAAAATGCTCTAAAATGAAGATAAGTGTGATAATGCGAAAAAAGTAAGTGGTTAATTTATGCACAGTTAGTCAGGTATTGATTTATGAACACAGAATAAAATTATGTAAAATAAGCTTGAATATGCACCATACTGATGACAAGGTTTTAATTGTTGACCTACCGTAAATAAGTAAAAGATGTGTTTAGAAAATGAAAACTGAATAAATCAAAATTATAGCGCCAACTGTATGTATGTATGTTTAAATAATGGTAATGATTCAGAAAAACAAATGAATATCCTACTCTCAAAACTTGTATAAATCTCCTAACCTCGATATTACATTATCAAAGACACCTAGCCTCTGTATATCATCGCCCTTTCACGGTGGTGTCTTTCAAACGAAAGGGAGGACAGAGAGAACTGCTGTGGAGTACACACAGCATTTCATAAATACCTGGATATTATGTGCACGTGAGAGATGACAAATGATTGCAGGATTTCATCATGAGCTGACATAGGTTAGAGGACCATTGGACAACCACCCAGTGGGTATTGGACAGCTGATTCGTCCTAGTTTGGGACACTTCAGCAGTATGCACCAGCATAGGGGTTTGAAACCAGGACCTTCTGGTTACAAGGCGAAGTCGTAAACTGTTAAGCCACTGGGACTCGATCCAAAGGCCAATCCATGAATTCCAACTTCCAACGACCGTTAGTCAATGTCTTCAGTGAGTGGGAAGTTGTGACCAGTAGGGTGCAGAAGGTAGGGTGTTAGGATGGACACTCGCCACCGATGATATTGACTAATGGTCACGCCATGTCGTGAGTTGGCAGAAGCTGGAATTCATGGACTGGCCTTTGGATCAAGTCCCAATGGATTAATGGTCTACGAGCTCGCCTTGTAACCAGAAGGTCCTGGTCTCGAACCCCAGTGGGTGCCTACTATTGAAGTCTCCCAGGCACTAGGACGGAGCAGCTGTTCAGTACTCTCTGGGGGTTTTCCAATGGTTCTGTAACCGTTGTCAGCTCATGATGAAATCCTGTAACTAACCAATGAAGTCCCTACAAACGAATACTTGAAGTTGACAAATGAGTTGGCAAATGCCAAATTTTCTTTTTCTATGCGTACTGAGACTTCTCCAGCAATCAGTCTACTAGAGCTGATACAACGTGCCCAATACGTGAGAGGGGTCGACACACCGTACCATTTCACTCATTATCTTTAGGCTGCGAGTCAGTGTAGTACAGTCCTACCGTATTATTTCATACATGACAAAAGCAAATTATACGTCAAACATTCGAAGATTTCTTCCGTTATTTGGTGTTCTGTATAGCAGTATTAAAATCAAAGCTTAGTGGCATTGGTTGATGAGGTCTTTAGTTACTGGTTTGAGGTGTAGACTGCCCATCTGGGGTTTCAGAGACGTTAAGAATCAATGTGTATAGAATTCTGGTGATATGATACAAAATCGATGTTTATGGAATAAATCAATTCAGTCTTTATGAACTCTCATGTCTCTCCATGTACTTATTCTTTCTTTTATACATTCCAGTTTATTACAAATATCTTACTATTTTCCTCCACTGATATGTGTGCATTTATGAAGTGTGACAACTTGACCTGCTGACCATTTATGCAAAAATTCTTCTTCTTGTCAACGAAGGCATCAACTAGGCTGCACGTTCGTTTATTTACAGGAAAGTTCCAGAACTATTTCCGTCCTAGAGTCAAATTAATACAATTACAAAGTGCGATAAACAGGAAGATCGGGTAAAAAAAAACTCCAACCACTTCACTCGCTTATGTGGAGTCGAGTACATTAGCTGTATTATACATCCGCTCTTAAAACGCACTCGGGAACACTATTCATCAGCATGGTTAGCAAAGACAGAACGCAAGAGTGTACATAGTTCAGTAACTGAACATCTGATGAATTTGGGACATCCAACTCCATTTGAAAAAAAATCCATTAAAGTCATTGACAAGATACAATCAAACCTCTCCAAGGGAGTGAAATAAAGGCATCTAGGAATATAGTTGAGGCACTACCGATCCAAAATTTCAAGCCCACAATATGTATTCAAAAGCAATACGTTCAACCATTTTCCGTACCATGACCATCAGAAGGAGTCAATCCTATTGATAATGCTTATTCCATTATCTTTCTTATCCAGTCTTCTTGTTTATTTCCGTTACTTTCACGTTTTTGTTTAAAAATTCCTATCTACATTATTGTTTTTTATCCGAACATCTTGCTTATTACACTTTGTAATTTTATTGATTTAATCCTTGGTCGGAAATTGGGTAAAGTTAAACTTTAAGCACCACTTACTACCAATCAGCGGGTGACGTCGAACGCGCCGATCATGCGAACGAGGCATTTTTGTGTATAGAATACACATATTTACGAAAAATTGCATAAAAACTGTATAAAAGTGTTACAGGGGATACGTTGCTCTCATCTGTAATAAAAGTAGCTCTCAGTTTTAGGTTGGAGTATCAACAGAGTTTAATTTTATTATGGATAAAATTTATTTTGATAAAATCTCATAGTGTAATACAGTAATATTTCCTGAGCAATAAATTGTGCTCGAAACGTTGTCATCAGTAAATATTACTGCATAACACTGTGAGACTTTATCAAAATAGATTTTGCCCACAATGAAATTATACTCTATCACAGTGCACAAGTTCTATTCTTATATCAACAAAGTAATTATTTAGGTCTTCTAACCCTAACAATAACACTAATCTTTCCGGAAAATAAACCTAACGTGAAAATATGCCTAAACTAACTGGAATCTAACTAGAAGCAATCCTAATGTCGACTTTATTAGGTTAATCTAACCCTAACTTGTCCTTGGCATAAAGCGTAACTTAATCTTCCCCACTGCATTCACCTTTCCATAAATCCAAATCACTAAAAGCTGCCTGCTTCTTGTAACCGTTGTTTTTCACATCACGTCAGTAAAATCTGAACCAGCTGTATCCATCCACCAAGGCGTCATTATTCATGCAGTTTGCCAGAAAAGACAAGGCATCTTCTTCCAACTAGCTGCATAATCTTCAATATCCCTCAATCGAACTCACTCCACATTATCTGAGTTGTTTTCATCCTCCTCCTACTCCTGATGATGATGATGATGATGATGATCCGAATAAAAATGGACAATTAGTCTACACTAAAAATACCACTCGCTCACCTGCATGCCTGATAAATTCTGTAATAATGGTATTTGAATGTAATCAGCACCGCTTATATACCTCTCTCTCTATCTATCTATCCAAACACATCATCACGCCCACCCCCACCCCACTTCAACACATACACATCCCCCCTTAGCTTCGTTTGTATTAGGTAGTTAGTCAGTTAGTTAGTTAGTTAGTTATTTAGGTTTGCATATATGTAATAACCTGATATGATGTGACGGTGGTCGGTAGTGGTGATGGTCTGCAAATGAAACATCTATTAACAAACAGTATTTTACCCATTATATATATATGACAAGTATCCTATTTCATCTATGTGTGACATTTCAATTTCCCCTACCCCCTTCCACACACACACAGTTTGGTTCGTTTAATTTTTAGTGAAATACAGTCTAAATTCTTCGTTACATTCAATTCATTCATTCATTCGTGACAAGTAAATAAGTATTACACATATACCATACACCACTAGTAGTACTAGTAGTAAGTGTACTATGTACCCGAAATTCTGATTTACTAATATCTTTTTATTTCGTTGTTTTGTTTTGTTTTCAGTAATCATCGACTCGTCATCATCATC